TAATGGTAATGGTAATGGTGATGGTAATGATAATAATAATGATAATAATGATAATAATAATGATAATGATAATGGTAATGGTAATGGTAATGGTGATGGTAATGATGATAATAATGATAATAATATAATGATGATGATAATGATATTGATAATGATAATGATAATGGTAATGGTAATGGTGATGGTAATGATAATAATAATGATAATAATGATAATAATAATAATAATAATAATGATAATGATAATGATAATGATAATAATAATAATAAAACTTTTTTAAAGTGTCCAACCATGTAGCCTGGGAGAAACCCATACTAATAAGGGGACACGGACTAACTGAGAAGAATAAGATATCTACACTTAAATACGAATATAATGCAGTCTAAAATGTTGGACAGTCCATTGGGACACCCTCCATGAATGTATGTAATTAGTCATCACAATGATCGATTCAGTTTATTACCATCACTTGTCAAATATAAGCAGGCAGTCAGCAAGACAGCGTAAAACAACAAACGTGCCCAAGCAGTGAGGCTAATCATCAGGGCGTGGATGCCTTTATAGAAAAAAAAAAAAGAAAGAAAAAGAAAAAGACGCTGTCAAACGGAATCAAAAAACGGAACGAAAATTGACCTCTTAAGAGAAATGTTTGGATGTTCTCTATAGGAGGGAACATTTTTATACTGTGAAACCATGTAAATGGAGGAATAGAGGAGGAGTAATATCGAGCTATGGACAGACCGTACACATGCATCGTTGATGCCAGTGTTGTCGCTTTTTTTTTGTCGTTTTTTTCGGTATAATAAAAATAAACGATATCATTTCAGTTTCGATTTCAGTTCCGAGTTAAGTTTGAGTATTGTAAGGTAGCCGTCTTTTGTACTCGAAACGACTATCAGAAAAACGCATGAAATGGACAAAAGGGTCCAGCGGTGTGTTTTACAAGCATCACCATTATCAAGATTATAATTGCAAATGAAGAAAGTGAGATTACTGTCGCTTGACCTCAACAATCATGAAAAGTTGATAAACTCTGCCGCCCTATCATCCGCTGCTGAATTGTAGTTGGCGACTGGGAACAATACATTTTGCGCGTGGAGAAGAGTAAACACTTTCCAAGTGTCTTTTATAACGCTATATTTGCCAGGTTGTCGGCAAGTAACACAGTAATAGCATCAACAACGATTTGAATATTTTCTGATGGACAAAAATCGATCCCGAGTACCAAATGGCCGAATTGCCAAACTGGCAGGCCTTGATTTGTGAAGAGTCAAAGCATCTATGAACTTTGGTCAAAGCGTATTTTCAAAAATGACCGTGGATAAATACTACTGGTCCGCATTTTGATCTCTAAACCATGTGATACATGAAGTCACTTTCCATTTGACGTCTGACAAATAAATCACACATTTTAACTGCAAAGAATATCAGCGAATGCGAATGCAGCGTTCCCTTCTGTTTGCCAGTTTACCTTAGCTTCAGCAGTTGCTGACTTAGTCTCTTCTGAAGGACCCCCAGATTCGCAACCACGAGCCTTTTATAGCTTCCGAAAGGAAATCTTTGTCGACACCTTCGAATAACACTATAGCCCGTGTTTCTGTCACGCTTTCATGCGTAATTTATATGGTTTATATTGTTTCTTTTGACGTCAGAATGTAAATAATGGCTGGGATTTGCATTCAGACAAAAGCATCTTGACTTGAGAACTGTAACTACGGAAACCGGCGAACAACACTGCATCTTAAAGTATGCTTGGTTGTGCGAATTTATATTTCGTTCTATCTGAAGTCTTTTATTGATGCTAGACGCATTCGTTTATCTAAATATGCACAACAACGTGCAAACTCCTGGCTTGAATCAGCCACGGCACTAGCTGCTGCAAACCATTTTTATAGAAAATGTATCCTAAGAAATTAATAGCACCGTAAAAGATTTTGCTGAGTTGGATGAAATTAATAAGAGCCAATAGGCTCTACATGCCACATTTGAGTTCAGGAATTCTGGAAACTCGATTAACGGGGAAAAAAGAGAGATTTAGCAAAGAGGTCACGACGCTTATGAACAATTCAAAGACAGAAAGTCGATACTCAAATGTCAAACATTGCAAAACCTGATCTGCAAAAGTCGATAATAAACACGAGTCGCCTTATTTCCGCTGGGATTTACTCAGTAACGGGGTCAAGGAAATAGCGAACACAGCTCGAAGCCGCTCAGTACGTGATAAGTTTTGGCTAGCAATTGAAAACAGAGACGCAAGTAAGTTATTTTTTCCTTTTTTGAATTGTAATTGTCTCGTTCAGTTTTCCGCGTATGGGCGAGCGAAAATTGCCAAATGTTCCGCGTCTCCGAGCAACGGCTATTGAATACCCCTCGATGCAATGCTGTATATTACCATTGTCTATAAAAAATTAGGTATCTGCTTTGGTATCTTTCCTAGTGTTCTCGCCGAGCGAATTAAACTTCATAAGCTTCCTAAAGATCTTAGAAGTATGGATACAACGGAGACATGAAGACGCTCTTCGTATCTCTTCTCTTCCGTCTTTCTGTCATGTGCGCGGGCTTGTCAGATCTAGGCTCTGACAGTGTACACAGTTCAACATTTGATCAGCCGTAATAGTATTCGATACACGTTGGTGACATCGTGACTCCGCTTTCATTTAAACGACCAAAAAATCTATAGAGGCAAGCGAAAGACACAGGGTGTAGAGAATTGGAATGTAGGAACTCGATCGATACCATAAGTATCGAATTTGTTGGAGAAAAAAGTACCTATAATTGAACCCCCGTTATCTCGACCTCACAAGGGAAACGAAAAAAAAGTTTGAAATGTCGGGTGCTCGGTGCTCAGGAAAGCTGCTAGTAAGTGACTGAAAAAGCATATCCAAGATGCTCAAGATACTAGCGAGGTTCACCCATAGTTAATAGAGCCAGGGGAATGGTTATGAAGCTCGGCAAACATCAAGGGAGCAAAGAAAGATGCCAAGGCTTATGTTGGAAGGTCCACGACCGTGCACAATCTTTTGTTTTGCGTTCATGAGTTACGTAACCCCAACGTTTCTACTGGTTAGTTCCTCGGTCAGTAGTAAACAACTCAAGGCCAAAACCGAGGACAAAAACACACAACAAAGAACTTGGTCGAGTCTTGTAACCATTCCCCTCTATTAACTATGGTTCAACCAGGAGATTGTCTTGGTTCAACTGTATGGCCGAATTTATTGGGTCATTTGATCTTGACATATTCTTGTTGTCTTCAGATATATAGATCGAGAGCGCCGCGCGTGAGGAAGATTAAAATATAATGCAATGTCTTCGAATGGCGAAATCAAGGCGCGCTCCCCATGTTAGCTTTTGTTTCTCGTAGAGCGATTATAACTGGCTGTTTTTTCCGCGATACGTGCAAAAAATATTAATTGGTTATTTCAATAAGTCAAGAGTTGTCACTGTTTTGACAGTCACTTCCCTTTGCGCTACTTCCTTGACCTCAGCTAAAACCAGGTCACCTCGGCTGCAGTTCTTATTTCACTCCTTTTAGCCAAAAATAAACGATGAAAATTATATTTCCTTATGTTGCAATACCAATCATAAACCCGCAAAGACCGTGGAAACAGATCTCGCTGCCTTTGCTAACTGTATAGCTCAGATTGCCTTAGCTGCGATATCAACCTACGAAACGCAAGATCCTTTTAAAACATTCCCTCGTCGAGTCGTCCCGTCTATCTCTTAAGATTTATTTCCGAGCAAGATTCAGACAGTAAGACGGCCAAGGTAATTTTGTGATGTGTGTAATATATGTTCTGTCAGTGTGGAGAAGCCTTCCTGCATAAATGTATTTTTCCGGAAGTTAGTTCCAGACCGGTGTGTTAGGATGAGTAGAACGACTGATTCGAGTTTAGACGGCGGTTTTAAAGTTGCTAAATCATGATAGCCTCGGGTACAGGTCAAAGTTAAACTTACTGTACAGTTTATTGCTCTTCTCTTACCTGCAAAGTTTAACAGCAGCACTGTTTACAATACCGTGCGTTATGTTGGTACTGTCTTCTGCTGTAAACTTTTAGTGTCTCTCTTTGTGTTTTTGTGTACATGCAACTCAAATTATATTTTTTTGAAAGTAAGTTCTCTTTTATTTTATAGCATCTTCTACCTTTGACGTGGTCAGTGCACTGATTGTCACCTCAAAATGGCTGTAAAATCGTCGCCGGTCTCCGTTCTTCGAGGATTTTTGATAGTATTGACATGGCTGCTCATTTACGAAGGTATGCTGAGTATCTCTGTTTAGGGAGTTAAGCAGAAAACCGACAGTAAGTTAAGGTGGCGGTGCACTACACGAACACCTTGTCCTTAGCTTACCTAAATCATCTTTCCTATACCCATTATAGATCAAACGGGGGTCATTATCATCCCTCACTGAAGTATACCAAACGTTAACATTTTGAATAATCTCAGACTAGAATTTTCAAAGTAAATATCTCGTCATTTTTTCAGAAGACATTTTTCCTAGTTATTTAGCTTAAAATTTCACCACATATGACAAATTTTTGCATATTTGCAATCCAGTATTGCAGAAAGCTAGTTTTGTTCGGCTTTATAACAGGAATACGGCTCCAATTCTGTCGGTGTCACGTTTCGCGGAAGTTTGCGAGTAAATTATTTAATATATACATGATATATGGTTAGTTCAAAGACGAAACATCGTTGTTTGAAATTATGGCGTTCTTATTTTTTACTCTTTACTTGTGTAAAAAACGCGGACGTAAATGAAAATACTTTCTGCATAACGATCACAAAGGGCCATTTAATCTGCACCACTGGATAACTTTCAGTTAAACAGGGAAAGAATTTAGCTAATACGTGCCGGCACGAACAAACCAGACTGCCACCGGTCATGTTACTAAGCAACCGCTGTAATGACCACAGTGTTATGGAGATTCCGGGCTTAGAAACTTAGAGTGTGTCTCTTTAAGAAAATCCAAGATTGTGTTCTTAAATCCGAAAACGGATTTTGCGTTTCTTTACTAAACAGATCAATCCTAGATTACTTGGATCATGGTGCATCAAAGGCACCAAAGAATCCTTGCCCAGAGTGGATTCTTCAGTTCCTTTCATACACCATGATCCGAGAGATCTTGAATTAATCTGTTTAGAAAAGAAACGCAAAATCCCTTTTCGGATTCAAGAAAACAATCTTGGATTTTCTTGAAGAAACGAACCCTTATATTGATAGCTGCGACTGTCATTGGCAGAGCGTAGTTTGACGGATTACTCAAACATCACAATTCAATCAATCAACGACTTTTTTAAAGGTTCAGAATATATAGCCGAGGGTTAAGACCCTCTACTAATTGGGGACAATCAAAAAGAAAATTATAAAATTAAAATTAATTAATTTTCCGAGAAACACAGTGAATTTAACGTTTTTTTGCCTCTCATGAGTACCAGGCTCCAACGCGGCCAATTTCAAAACGAATTATTGAAATATATCTTGAAATATGAAAAACAAGCAGTGCTCATAATAGTAGTGCTCGTTAGCTTTCATTTGAATAGTCTCACAATGGGTCTTCATCATTTAAAGAAATATAAGATTAAATTAAGAGCGTCAAAATGACTTGACGTTTGACTCTGGAAGTGAAAAGTTTAAGGAGATAGAGAGCACAGCTGCGCACGGCAGATGATGATCATTTCTCCTTACTGATGTTTAAACACTTCTTGTGATGTCACTGGAGAGAATTTAGTCTCCCAGCGAGAAGACTTCCTTGTTCTTAAAAAAAAAAAACCGCCTTAAAATAGTCAGTAACATTAGAGCATCTCGAACTCGGTTGTATCTAACTTTACACTCAGTCTCGAACTTAAATCAGTTTCTCTTGGAATTACTTTTTTGGTCTCTTGCTATCGGCTATCTCGAACCCCCGACATCTCGAACTATTTTTGTTTCCTTTAAGAGTTCGAGATGGCTAGCGGGGTACACCTGTACATTTTTAACCAGATAGGCGAGGGGAGGATTACAAACCGTTTATAATAGAATGGAACAGAAATTATTAAAAAAAACTGGACCATTGGATAATGCAGTTCAGGACTTTTCATTGGCTCAGTAATTATGGTATATGAGTAAATATCCAACGCGCGCTCGTGGAATAATTGTTAATTATTGTGTTTTGTTAGTGGAAATAACAAAGGGAATTAACATATCATTTTTTCGTTCCTGCCAGGCGTATCATCAAGTTCGTGTCAATCGTTACCTTGTCTGTATTATGGTAACGGCAATACACTAAAAGCGATTGAAATCAACTCCTCCAAAGTGCACACAGTCTTAAGCAATCTCAACTCCGTCGAGGCTGTCGACGTTCATGTTAAACTCAACTTGGTGTACTGGAGCGAGACTCGGCCAAACGCCATAAAGAGGTTGAATGTTACTAGTGGAAAGGTAGAAGACATTTTAAAGGATAGCAATCTTGGCGAGATTGACGGATTAGCAGTGGAGTGGGAGAGTGACCTCATTTACTGGACTGACTATACCAACGAACGCATTGAGGTGGCACAACTGGATGGCAAAAACAGACGAACTCTGATCACTTCAGAAATCCGCCGCCCACGGGAAATAGCTGTAGATCCACGAAAGGGGTATGCGTTGCAAATAGATTCGGGAGATCATATAGAGTCTTTTCACATGACGTCACGTTAGCCATATTGGTGTTCCAAAACTCTTTTCTTATGTAAAAAGTTTCTTTTGTTCCCACAAATTTGCATGGCTGCTTGCCACGTGAGTGAAAACGCTCTATTCTTCCATTCTCGTGCTCTTTTGTCCCGTTTTTATCCAATCTGCGACAAGGGAGGGCTGGCAAGGGAAGGGGAGGGCCATTAGACGTTCTGCCATAAAAGGGATGGTACCTCCCACACTTCATGCTCTTGAGACAGGAGATGTTACGCTTGTACTTAAGAATCATGGCAAGTTGTGAAGGCTAGCGGCCTGAAATTTGACCATGCTTTAATATCATCCCTAGTCATTTTGCAAATCACACATCCCAAGGGCATTTATTTTCTCAACCACTCTCTTGGTTTTGTAGGTACATGTTTTGGATAAGCCGCGGTTTACGACCGAGAATTGAGAGAGCCACTCTATCTGGAGACAGTAAGACAACCTTGGTCAGTTTTACCAGCTTATGGTGGTCGTCTAGACCGAATGGAATAACCCTCGACTTTTCTGTAAACCGTCTTTACTGGGTTGATTCTCTAACCAGACGAATAGAAAGCGTTGACTTCAATGGAAACAACAGACAGCGTTTTAAGACACTCCATTTCAATATCCGACCTTACGACATTGTTTTGTACAGCGGGGTGTTTTACTACAGCGACACGAGCAGCCAGAGTATCGACAAGATCGACAAAGCAACGAAGCAATCCCTTGGAAGCTACACGGGGCTTGGAGGAAGTAACGTTCTAAGGCTGGCCATGTTTTCTCCTGTGCGACAACCGAAAGGTATGTATCTATCAGCATGTTCAGAAATAGTTGCAGCAGCTATATAACCAATAGCCTCCATTTGGCGAGAAAATATACTAGAATATTTGTACGCGGACATTATCTGATCCGAAAAGTGAACAGCTGCTTCCCGAGAGTGTTGCTCGAGGAAAACTGTGAGCTTTGAGGAACAGATAATGTCCAAGGACAAGGTCCTATTTTAAATGCGATAAAATTCAGCTGCTAAGACTTAAAACAGTTTGGCAGCCAACCTTGATCGCGTTAGCTTTTTAAATAGGTAATTATTCTTTCCCTGCATGGCAGCATAATTGGCCAGGTTTTCTCCGACTTCCACTCTTTTCAAAAGTGCCACTTACATTATTAGGTAGCTCCGCTTGCCACCACAATGGCGGATGCAGCCACTTCTGCCTGTTATCACCAGCAGGGAACCAATGCGCGTGCCCACCAGGAGAGATTTTGAAGTCTGATGGAAAGACGTGTGATGATGAAGGTACTGGGTTTTGTAACGACGATAAAATGAGAAAGATCCCTAAGAAAGTCGACTTTCCGTTGCGATCTCTTAGCAATTGGAAAAAACGCAACCAAATGTATGGAAATAGTAAGCATGATTAGCCAGATTGTTAGATAAGACCATGGCACGAATATTCTTCCTCATTCAAGAAAGCAAACCTGTATAGATGATTGATAAACACTGTTTTTGGTTACTAAACTCGGAATATTCTAGCTAGAAAACCAAATCTTTCACAGTTTCAACGGTGTACACGGCAGGGAAAGTCTTAAGTGAACTTTCACCGGCTGTCTGCCAGTAATAATAATAATGAATGGGCGTGTAGTTGCTAACAAGAGTTCATTTCAAGAGGAGAAATAGAGTGCAGTTACCATTGATACTTCTTCTGTGAGGACTTTGAGTTTTTGCATTTATTTTTCTACCTTGAATGGATAGAATTTGCCTGTTTCCTTTCCTACAATCTTGAATTGATTAACCATCTAAAGTAGAAACGGCAAAGCAGAAAAATAGCGATCATTTAGCCAACATTATTTTCGTTCCATTTTGTAGGGAGCTCTGCGCGCCTGCTGCTTGTCGATAGAACGCAGCAAGAACTCTTCCAAATCCCTCTGTTACCCGGTTCCTCGGTTTCAACAACCGCTACAGCCCTTCCACTCAATGATGTCAGGAGTCCAGCGGGGGTGGACTTTGATCCCGTCCAGGGGTACGTCTACTGGTCTGATAGCTCCAGAGGTGAAATATTTCGCGCGCATTTGAATGGTAGCTCTCAGGAGCAGGTAGTGGATCAGCTGGGAACAGCAGATGGAATTGCAGTGGACTCTGTTGGAAGGAATCTATATTGGACAGACAGGACAGGCAATAGAATAGGAGTGTCCAAACTGGATGGTTCCTTTAGGAAGACGCTCGTGTATCAAAATCTTTATGACCCTGTTGATATTGTCCTGGACATGGAAAATGGGTAAGTGTGAATTTAATGTCTTTCGATTATCAATCAAACTTGAGGCCTTATATTATATTACAGGTTTTCGGGATTTGGGATATTTATTTAAAAAATTAACGGAATACAGGATATTTGGGGGG